ACACCTCCGGTGTAATGCCACCATGGAGGACGGAATTAAAGAGCTTCTGAAGGACTTCAAGTACCGGTCTTCCATCAGCTTTCAGAAGCACCGGCGAAAAAACACCGGCGCTATACGGTGGCGGATTGACAAAAGACAATTTTTAGCGAACTTTTTTATGCATGAACGGTTTCGAACTGTTTCAAGCAAAAATAAACCTTATACCATATCACAAGAGCACATGGTACTTCGTAGAATTTTACCTAATTTTAATTCCCGACGGCAGGAATTAAGGTAATTGACGTCCCCATGTCGGGGTTAACCCGAAGTATCTTCAGTTTTTAATTATTACTATTGGTCTGGCCTACGCAATTTCCTGGTGTACAATAGAGATAGTATTGTACTATATTGTATAAACTATTCAATGGTGAACTTGTGGTGCCAGGTACGCCAGGGGCGGTCGGCACTGCACATAGCGTGCTCGGCAGAGGGGGCGCGCGCGCGCGGCGGTTCGGGTGCGTGGCTGCCGGCGCCCGGCGACGCGCAGCCGTGCTGCGGCGCGCTCGTCGCGCTCATGCTGCGCCTGGGCGCCGCGCCCGACGCGCGCGACGCGGACGGCAACACGCCGCTGCACCTCGCCTGCAAGGTACCTACACACACACATACACATGCCGGCGCCCGGCGACGCGCAGCCGTGCTGCGGCGCGCTCGTCGCGCTCATGCTGCGCCTGGGCGCCGCGCCCGACGCGCGCGACGCGGACGGCAACACGCCGCTGCACCTCGCCTGCAAGGTACCTACACACACACATACACATGCCGGCGCCCGGCGACGCGCAGCCGTGCTGCGGCGCGCTCGTCGCGCTCATGCTGCGCCTGGGCGCCGCGCCCGACGCGCGCGACGCGGACGGCAACACGCCGCTGCACCTCGCCTGCAAGGTACCTACACACACACATACACATGCCGGCGCCCGGCGACGCGCAGCCGTGCTGCGGCGCGCTCGTCGCGCTCATGCTGCGCCTGGGCGCCGCGCCCGACGCGCGCGACGCGGACGGCAACACGCCGCTGCACCTCGCCTGCAAGGTACCTACACACACACATACACATGCCGGCGCCCGGCGACGCGCAGCCGTGCTGCGGCGCGCTCGTCGCGCTCATGCTGCGCCTGGGCGCCGCGCCCGACGCGCGCGACGCGGACGGCAACACGCCGCTGCACCTCGCCTGCAAGGTACCTACACACACACATACACATGCCGGCGCCCGGCGACGCGCAGCCGTGCTGCGGCGCGCTCGTCGCGCTCATGCTGCGCCTGGGCGCCGCGCCCGACGCGCGCGACGCGGACGGCAACACGCCGCTGCACCTCGCCTGCAAGGTACCTACACACACACATACACATGCCGGCGCCCGGCGACGCGCAGCCGTGCTGCGGCGCGCTCGTCGCGCTCATGCTGCGCCTGGGCGCCGCGCCCGACGCGCGCGACGCGGACGGCAACACGCCGCTGCACCTCGCCTGCAAGGTACCTACACACACACATACACATGCCGGCGCCCGGCGACGCGCAGCCGTGCTGCGGCGCGCTCGTCGCGCTCATGCTGCGCCTGGGCGCCGCGCCCGACGCGCGCGACGCGGACTGCAACACGCCGCTGCACCTCGCCTGCAAGGTACCCACTTACATGCGAACGCACACATGCGCTTATCGCCTGCAACGCACGCACACGCACCTCGCCTACAACGTACGGACGCACACACACACCTCACCTGCAAGGTACACACCGCTGCACCTTGCACTTTTTGCACATATAATTGGATCTGGCTAGGATATGAAATCAGGTCGCACTAATTATCGATTGATTTAACATCACGTGTATACACGAATACATATCCACAAACACACACAAGAACGTAGTCCCCTGCATTCACCAACCGAACCTTGTATACACACCTCAGCTGTTCCGTGGCGGCCTAGTTATTTAACATAGTTTAAAATATTTTTTTATCGTTCCCAGCTGAATCCCTGTCCGTCGGATGTTGTGCGCGCTTTACTCACTCACGGCGCTCACATTGACACGGTCAACTACGAAGGCGAAACGCCCGAAGAGATCCTGAAATCTACCCAGCAGAGTCTCACCGCCATAGTAAACCCACTTAAGTACACCACGCTCAAATGCCTCGCCGCACGCACTGTTAAAAACTACAGGCTACCATACAGACACGTTGTTCCACAATGCCTGCACTCCACTATTATAACTCACTGAATATAACTAAAAAAAAATTGTTGTCCGAATTTTGAAAATGCTGTAAGTCTCTAAGTAAGAGGTCTTTCAAGCTGTCCACATCACTAAATTGCGTCTCACTATTTTAATTTAAAATAATTCCAGTCTTATTTTCCGTTTTTCTATACAAAAAAAAAATTGAGTTTATATAAATTTTTAAAACTAATTACTTTAAAAGTTTAATTGATTTGATCTAGGTGTTAAAATAAGAATATACGTAATCTTACGATAAAGTTCTTTATAAAATTAATCACGTTGAGTGTAATAATTATGACAAAAAATGTCTAACAGGTTTGACAATTGGACATAGTGCCCAAAAACGTAGCTTTATTTTGACACCTGTCATACGTTTGACGGATGCTGTTAGAGACAAGTCACTGTAGAGGAGTATTAGCGTAATTATTGATGTTTAATCGAGGTGTCAAATGAATTTTTAAGAATATTGAGGCTATTATTACCCGCTTTTGCTGTTTGGGTGCATTTACCCCCAAAATAATTGTAATATTATATAAGATTTTTTTGCAACATGCACAAAGTGATATAGATTATGTTTTCATTGCACTTGGGATTTTGGAGCTTTTATTACATGTCTTTTGCAGTCATTTTTAATTTGAATACTGAATATTTTTTGAGTCGGTGACTCTCATGTCCATTTTATATTCGTATATATTTTCAAAATTATATTTAAACAAGAGGATAAAATATGGAACTTTATAAAAACATTCTGTTTTAAAATTTGATTTTGTATGTTATAAAATAATGTGCTGTGCCCACAAGTGATTGAAAAATATTATGTTAATGATAAAAGTCATTTATAATATTGAAATTATTGTATGGTATATTATAAAATTTACATATAAATAGATGTTTACGTATAATTTTATTTGGCACAATTGAAAAGACGAAAAAATGATTGTTTCATAAAAATTGCGTGCAAGACCTGAGGTCAAACTTCAGTGGATCTATTTTTTCATTATAGTTTCGAAATCTCCCGATAAAGCTGATTGAAATGATTTTTTATGAAGATGAAGGAGAAGAGTCAGTACGTGTACTTATATTTTTATAGTTCTGTATTGTGAAAACATCAATCTGTAATAAACATTAATAATACGATTATTATGCCATTTATTTTATAATTAAATTAAAAGTAATGTCATGTAACTGTCATTTGAAATAACTAATTTAATCGAATGATATTCAATTATGCATGTTAACCTGTTTTAAATAAAAATTGTAAAGTTAAAGAAAAGTTGAAGGAGCCAAAAATAGTAAAAAATTCAAAATGTTGAAATGGTCACTCATAAACGATTTTCACTACAGATTGCAATTCTCAGCTCATTGACGCAAACTCCTATTTTCTGTGTATTGCATATTGGGTTTGAATTTGAACTGCACAATCCAATAAAAGGTGGTCAGGTCATGTGCCTTTATAGAATATCCCGTACAACAGATTAGTTTTGATATTCTGGATGTGTTTAAAATTGGACTAGAGGACTTTTAGTGTAATGTTGCATTCTATAGAAATTTCCTCGTTCATTTGACACACTCATCCTGTTTTATTACAAAAAGTGGTTTATTGATATATCTATTTGATAGGACTATTGATTGGCCTATTTATAGGTCTCCGGTTTAAACTATGGTTTAAGAAGAATCCTTATGACTCAAGAAGTCTTTCAGTCGCACCACCGCTGTCTTTGCAAAATTTGACATTTGCTGTGAAACTCATATTAGTTTGTGTATTTCCGCGGGACTCTTTCGTGAAACTAATTCTAGTTTAAACCTAAGAGTATGTATGAACTACTTTTTGTAATAAGGCCGCTAAGGTTTAATAAAACGTCATTGACTAGTCCTTTTGTGTTTTAACATATTCAAAGATGATTTAGTTTCCTTTTTTTTGTATTAACATTACGCCGTCATCGTTTTTATGTTACAATATAGTAAACGCGTGACGCAGTTTCGTTTTAGGAAGAATTCTGCCAGTTACACCGAATTGTGCGGTCTATGAATTTTTGATGGCATTATTTCAATGGGAATCAAGCCGGACTTGGTTGATTGATTACTTTCATAGAACAATATAACAACGGTGTGCAGTGCGGAAATTTTGTCCATATAACTTTTATATTGTAAAAACATTAGACATTAAGTAGCTAGATAAATAGAAATTAAATGGATGAAAGAGTAAATCGCTATGGATTTTGCTAGAATAAATTACAAAGTGATCTATAGGAACTGAATTGATATATGAAAATATTAGTCTTTATTTGTAATTTCCACGTGCAGTTTGCTATCCGTTATAAACTTGTGTATTTTTGTCATAGTATATTTTGAATGTAGTAGTACTGCGTGGTCATATACTAGTTATTTTTTGAAATTAATAAAAATGCTCTAAAAATACCAGTTTTATTTATTACTAAATATTACAAAACATTATCCTAGCCTAGTGCAGATAAGTGGTCTATAGAAAAATACTTATTATCTAATACCCTTATGTAACAATCTAAACAGTCTCTAATTAAAAGTAAATACATTTCAGACTTTAAATATTTTAATTATTTCATAATTTATTAATGATCATAATACCTTTAATATAGAAAATAGATCATGAATGTAGAGTCAACAAAATTAAAATAAAAAGGCGTATCTTACCGCACTTGCCTAAGAGGCCCTTCACCTTAATATAAACAAAACGACAAGTGGATTGCTTTCAGTTGTAATTGGTGCTATGAAGCACAGTCAACAAGTAAGCATTCAATCGTTTGATGTTAAAACGTTTTTTAATTGGACAGGCGCAGTCTGAAGCAAGCATTTCAGATCAACATTCGAGGCGCCCGGAAAATGCAACCATAGACGATAGACCATAGCACGATTATTCATTAGGTCTTTGGCCATTCGGACACCATCTTTGTTTTTAATTTTTGCAATTTTTATAACAGGTTCCAGAGTGATCTTTTTCATTTGCAATTTCCTCAAAGCACATATCAAAGGCCAATATGTGAACTGATCGTAGAAATGTTCGGTACCACTGACAGCAGATAGGTAGAGCTTACATTTCTCCGTGTTGGTATTGTCCCACTTTAGGCCCAGCGCTAATGCCTCGCTGGACGTCACAATCGGAAATCTCTTACGGTTTTCAAAGGCGTATGCAGCCACAAGTCCGCTCAGACGATTTGCTGTGAACTCAAAGTTTTCCACTTCCACATTCGGTCCCGTCTTCTTCACTAGTAATGGGGTGCTGAGGGGATAAAATAATTTAAGCATATAATACAATATCACAACTGATTTTTAATTATGTTGATTTATATTGGGTATTGCCGAAAATATACTCAACTATGTATAAGACTTTATGTAATATATATTCTATTTATATATGTTATATCGTCTATTTCATATACACTGTGCCATTGTAATATTTAAATGTATACTCCATTAAAGCACACATTGAATCCACTAATTCACTCTAAAAGCGCGATGGACTGTTAACTGCTTTTAAAACCTTACAAAAATTATGTGCGACTGTGTTGAGCTGAGATGTATGCAGGCTTTTTCAAAATTAAAATCTTAATGGTAAGTGAGATGGATTTATAAAGGATATAATAATTTATAACATACTTAAATATGTGCAAAAAAGACAAAACAACCAATCGGCTAAGCAAAAAATATATGAGATAGAATTAGAATCACGCACATAGCTGCAGTATGGATGAGTTGGATTGACCAGGGAAGGATCACACTTGCTCAGAGCACCAGGTTAAAATAGCAACATTGGGCTTGATGTGTTTCAGTAAATGACGAAAGCCAGAGACCCTTTTTGCGGATAACACATTCTATCTTTGTCCTAAGGGACGACAACGAAACTGCATTTCGATTCTTTATCAGGGATAAATTATGATAGGTGTCTGTCTACTAGACACAGCATCGATTAATCACCAGATGACTTGTGAATTCATTTGTTAAACTTATTTGTTATTTTACAAATATTTATTATATAAATTGTCCTTAATTGATATTTAATTTTTGGTATAATTAGGTGTCATTACGATAATTCGTGTACTTAAGTGTGTCAGTTAATTATTACAAAGAACTAGTTTGATAACATTTTTAGAATAATAATTATAAGAGTTGACCATCGAGGTTGTTTAAAAATTATAATTTTGTTTTTAACCTGGACTATTCATCAAGGGTCGTATGAAATACAATGTCACCTCATCGCGTAACGTGAGCATAAGGCTTTATAGAGGTGAAAAACAATAAAATACAAATCATCTCATTATTTCCTCATTAAAGGGACCATATAATACAGTTCCAAACAGTCAGAATGACCTATATGTTTGTTTTCATGAGTGGCATACTTATTATTTATTTACCAACGTATTTACTAGTGATATCAGTAATACCCAGAAAAATTACTTTACTTCTGGAGCAATCTGATGGATGAAAAGGAGTGCAATTGACTTACTTTTTCTCCAGCCATATTCCGTCGATCATAACCTGCTGTCCTGGCAACACATTCTTCAACTTCTGTCTCAGCTCATAGCCCTTTGCTAGTATCGTTTCTATGTTATCGCTATGTCTCAGAAATTCCGCCTCCTTGTACACATTGTAGAAAATGTGACCCGAGAAAGGATCTTTTGGTATTCTCGGTCCCGAACTTGTTGAAGAAAATTCAAACTTCTCCATTGTAGAACTGTTGATAATTTAGCTCTATTAATCATACAATAGCTCTTGACACATGATGTTATAGTCATAATTTTAAGGTTGTATATGGTTGTGCAGTGGTTGCCTTTTTTAGGAAACTACAAAAAGATATGGCTTGATCATGCCTATCATGATCAAGCCATATCTTTTTTTAGTTTCAACCCGGGATTTGAACCTGAGACTACATTATTATCAGTTGAACTTATGCCCAATGAGACAATCAAAAATTAAGACAACATATTAGCAAATATGCTAACTCATGTAGTATTTAATAATTATCTATAGTATCTATCTTACTACTTTTATACTAATCGAATTTAATAACTCAAAGTATTAAGTACCTTTATTTATTGAATAAAACTACTTTTACGGATTCTATCGAGTTTACTTATTTTTAAATATCTGGCGTTTTGGGTGCTTTCCAGCATCCTGGGAATTTAAAAATAGGTATAATTAAACACAATATAATCTGTTAGTTTTATTCAGTGTAGTATTTGCATAAATATAAGAAATCATTACCATTATTTAAATCTGATTGTACACTGGAGTTGGACCCTGACACCCCAATTCAAATTTTTCGCCATTTAAAAAAAAATATAAATGGAATAGAAATAGTTGTTCACTAGCAAGCTGTCTCAAAAGTTTATATATGCAACACAATATTGCAAGCTTTTAAAAAAAGTTGCTCTATGTGTCTTACCGCTTCTTTTCAAGACAAAGGTATTTTCCGAAACAGTAGTAAATCCTATAGTACTTTTTTCTATCAAAGACGGTATGGAAGGATTAACATAAATAATTCTCAGAAAACATACTTTTATTGCTTACTGTTTTAGGTATAAGTATATCAATATAGAACATTATTTTACCTTACATTATAAATAATCTAAGTATTTTACATCATTAAATTGCAATTTCTGAGATTAGATTAAAATACACTTGATGAATCAATGTCACCATTAAACAAATTCATACCTATACTTCAGAATATTAATCATAACTTTTGATAGAATGAACCAATTTAATAAAACAATAACTAAATGTAACTTTCATTTTCTTAATGATTCTTTTGAAAAATATTATTACTTTAGATTAGATGTGATACATTATACTCATAAACAAACTGACAGACAATGCTAAAAATTATAGAAATATATTTAATTGCTTATTTTTAGTCCCTCTCTCATTTTTGTAACAAAGATATAACAATGTACAGCATACACAGACATGCAATTTCCATTTTTATTAGGTATATGTTTAAAGATAGATTTTAAAGAGTTGTGAAAATAAGTAAGTACAAGGATTTGTTATTTAGTTATCTCAGCCAACAAAGAAAAAAGATGGAGCGCTGCATACATTTCAAGTAACGCAAAAACCAATCCAAAGGAAAAAGAATGATGTTTTCATATGTGTGTCAAGAAGTTGAGCATAGTTTTGGCATCAGTTGAAATGTATGCAGCGCTCCGTCAAACTTTTTTTGTTGGTATGAGTTCTTGTACTATTATTTATTCTGTGGTATGAGTTAGGTAGTGGTTGTTAATATAACACTGCACACGCGTCAGGAGTGTATACAAAGGATTTCCGCAGAAAAACAAGACTGCTATACAAAACAGTTCATAATACATTTAAGTAAGTAATTGTTACACTAAGTAACACTCAAACGCCCAAAAATGTTAAAGAAACAGAGTTCAATAATTGTTTTGTACAGGAATGTAGAACTTACCAGACGTCACAAAAAATAATAAACAATAAACAATATTATGTTGATGTTGTTGTGTATCCACCTTAATAAGTTAATATAACACTTGGTAACACATAATATGTCAACAATTACACTCACTTTTTACTTACGCTCGCCTTTGTTTCGTTATAACAACTTACACCACCTAGTGATATTGCAAAAATGTAAATAATTATTAGCTTGTTACAATTAAACACCAATAACTGTGCAAAACATTTGTAAATAGCTTGTACCGTTTAATATTATCTAAAACTAAAAATCTGTGCCCGTAAATATAATATATTTCTAAATTCCAATCCACTCAATCAATTCTAATGCACTCAAAAGTATTGTATAATTTCTCGTTTTTCCGTGATAAGAAGTATTATTGATAATTGAGAAGGAAATCCCCTCCCCTACTTGTTGAGTTGTTGCCATATAAAAATTTGAAATTTCAATTTTCCAAACATTGCACTCAGATCGTACTCGGCCCAATAAAATAAGTTTTTTATTGGTCTAAGCACAGAATAAATAACAGTACAAGAAGTCTAAGTGAAGTTAATAAAACTAGCATGAAATGGTAAAAAATCTGTGTTTAGCTAAAATTTATTTGAAATAGTGAAAATATGTCGTGTTCAGCTGTGTCTTGTACATAGATTAAGAACAACAAAAGGTAGAAATTTTTCTCTTTTATTGAGTCTTAGTGAATCTCTATTATCTTTGACAACACTTCTTATCTTTTTAAATGCTAAAACATTTTTTAGTTCTATGTGATAATGGTAAAAATTAAATGGAAAATAAATAATTATTGTTTTTAAATGCATTGTTTTAGGTATTTGTATGCTAGAGACATACACCAACAAAAAATTTATGTTGTAATATATGTTTTCGTTTTTTAATTTAACTTTTTTTTTAGGTTTGCAGAACGAAATGAAAGACAACATGAGTGGATAGAATTAGGGATGCCCGATTTTTTTGTTTTGAATCGATCTACTGGATCGTAATGGATCGTAACCTTGTGAATCGATTCACGATTTAATCATATTTCATTGAATCGATCTTATTCGATCTCGGAAAATCGCATCGTAATTTTATAAAAATAAAGAAAAGCACAGTATTCATGCAAAATTATTTATTTTAACAATGCCTATTACGGTATTCAGTGAGTTTTTCCAAATTATTATTTTTGAAAAGTATGAAACAGGTTTTACATTATGAATTCCTACTACCTACATTTAAACTCTTCAAAAATAATAATTTTGACAGCTGCACTGGTTCTAGCCTATTACTTACGGCTAATTTTTTCGAAAATAAAATAGCGTAAATTACTCCCTGTAACATCGGCTATATCTGCCAGTGAAAGTACAGTCAAAATCAGTCCAGCCGTTTTTGAGATTAGCCGGAACAAACAGGCAAACAGACGGACAGACAGACAGACAAAAATTTAAAAAAATTACCTTTTGTTATTAGTACCGTATATACTTTGATATGTATTTTTTGTACGTGGTAGAGCCATTCTGCAGCTATCTTTGTACGTGGTAGAGTCATGCTGCAGCTATCTTAGTGGTGTAGTTGTAGCACGAATGGGTCGGCTCGACTGGGGAAGGACCACGCTTTCACAGAATACCAGCGTAAAATAGCTGCTGTGTTTCGTATGGTGAGTGTAGAGAACCGGAGACCCTATTTACTGGAAGCGAGGCGTTCCATCTTAGTCCTCACTGGTGACAACGCATTTGCATCTTGATCCGTAATCGAGAATAGATATAGATGTCTGTGAGCCACAGCAACCACTTACCATCAAGTGGAATGAGTGCTCACTTGTCACCTTTATTATATAAATTTTTTTTAGTAAAATGCTATTATTTTGACATTACCAACAGACACTTCAATTTTATTTATTTGTATAGAACATAGATACTTACGATATCGGAAATTGCTGATAAGTGTATGTGATGACGTCTGAGATGATTTTTTAAATTGGTGGTATTTCCACTAGTTTTAACCATCTGTTTAAACATTTTACATTGTTCACCCATGTCTCATTTAATAAAAAAGCCCAAACGTTTGATTTGGTTGGCGGGGCCATATTTAAAAGTATTTTAAAATAATAGTTTACGCTCACAGAACAGCTCAACTTTTCGTATCGCAATAATACAAAGAATGAAAGATCATAGAACACTAACATAAGTAAGTACCCGATAATTAAATAAACAAAATATTATCATACCTACCTTCATATTTCATACATTACCGCTTTTGATGTAACTCGAAGCTACTCTCATTGAATGTGTAGGTAGGTAATCTTAGTTTGTTGTAGTTATTCTGTCCCCTCCCTGGCAATACGATAGGTATACAAAGATCGGTCCGTACGTTATTACGTTACGGTTCGGTTGATATTTAGGTTTTAGTTGATACGATTTATTCATACGATCTTATAGGCATACGATTCGATATGGGTGAAGATCGCATTCCCTTGAATCGATTCAAAAATCGGTAGATCGTATGGCCGTAAATCGATCATTCAGAAAATCAATCCAGATCGGGCATCCCTAGATAGAATAGAATAGAATAATTTTTATTCAAAATTGATTACAAGTAATTCTTATTGAAAGTAACTTTATTACTTTACCACTGGTTCGGAAAAAATCCTCTGTCCTGGGAAGAACCAGCAAGAAACCCAGCGAGACTTTTTTGTAAAATAAATTTTACAAAAAGTCCCGTTGTAAATAGCTCTTATGGACCTCTTCTACAAAACAAAAATAGTTTCTAAATCAGCCGCATTGCCCCATAGCAAAATTCCAAAAGACATTATGCTATGGAAATAACTGAAATAATCTAATCTAGCGGTCTCGACACTAGTGAGATCTCTAACCTTTTTTACAGAATAAGCTGCAGATCTTAGTCTGTTTGCTAGTTTGGATATGGTATTTGGATGGAGACCCCTCTGAAGCTTAGCGTCGAGAGTGATGCCAAGAAAAAACAGAGGATTCAATAGGGCTCTGTTCTTCCCCATTTGAAAATACATTGGTATTCAGATTTTTAACATTTATTGTTGTAAAAATACATTATTTTTATTGCCGTTTAAATGTAGATTATTAACGTTAAACCAATGCACTAATTTTGATATAGCATTATTCAATTCGTCACATTTAAATGATAGACGTTTAAGTTTAAAAATCGAGGAAGTATCATCAGTAAACAATACTATATCATGTATGTCCCCTACAAGGGAAGGTAAGTCATTAATATACACTAAAATAGGAAT